GGAATGCACGCTCGAGCGAGGACTTGTGTCTCACGCTCGAGCGGGGTCGAACGCCCGTTGAGCGTGAATTTCATGCATCCAGCACTTTTGCAGTCCGCTTGAGCGAGGAAAGTCAAGATCGAGCGGAGCTCCTTTGTCTGCATGTCCGCTCGAGTGTAGAAAGCCACGCTCGAGCGAGACCCCTGTTTTCTGAAAATTCTGAAAAGTATTTTAAAGTGCATCTTTGCATCCTCATTCGACCCTTAGAACCCATGAACTATCTGTTAGCCGTATCATCACCCGTAGGGGGATCCATGACATGTGCTTATATGTACCCCGCATGGGTCTTTTAAGACCTACTGTTACTGTTATGCTAATGGATGTACCACATATGACTGTTTACTGTACTGAGCAACTGAAATACTGATTGAAATGAACTGTTTTCATTACTGTAAGGACATTCATTCTAAACCCCTTTACGCTTTATGTTATTCACTGGGCTTTAGCTCACTGCTCATATATATATGTAGGTGTACAGGCACCGGATCAAAGCTAGAGGCGTCAGGGTTTTCCAGTTTTGTCAAGCCAACCACCGTGCCTCACTGCGAGGTTCCGAGTTCGCCATGCTATGGCTTGGGGTGTCTTTTCCCCCGCTAGTCCCTGTTACTGTTTGTATTACTGTACTGTACTATTATCAAGGGATTAGATCCCTGTACTGAATGTCTGTAAATGCTTGTATAGCCTGTACTGTTGTGATTATATGAATGCATGAAAAATCTTTTTGGCATACAGACTGTCACAGCTCATTGGGCATTGTTTATTTACTGTATTGGCTTCCGCCAAGCCCTGTACTCTGTTTTACTGGATTACTGTTCTGCAGGCCTTCGGTAATCTCGGATTACTGGCCGGTTACGGTGCTAAACCCATAGGGTCGGGTTTGGGTCGTGACAGAAAGTCAAGATCGACCGGAGCTCCTTTGTCTGTATGTCCGCTCGAGCGTAGAAAGCCACGCTCGAGCGAGACCCCTGTTTTCTGAAAATTTTGAAAAGTGTTTTAAAGTGCATCTTTGCATCCTCATTCCATCCTAGGCATTCCTAGGCCTAGTTTAAAGCATTTTAATAAGGATAATGCTATAGAACCACACCGAGTCAAGATAGGGACTAAGTTATTGTTTCCCAAACGTGCAACTTAGTGCGTGTTCATCCTGTAACTGTGTAGGGTTAGTATCTGAGGACGCTCACTAGCCTATCTATAGCCCAGAACTCTGTGAGTAACAATATTGTAAAGATATATTCAATCATGAATAATTTCTGAATGATCAACTGTACTGCTTTCTGAAATGATATTTCTTACTGAATGAATGCTTGTCCTATTTGCGAACTGTATTCGTGGCATCCATAGCAATTTACTGTTACTGTATTGTACTGCTACTGTCACAGAAATCTTTGTCGGTTCCCATGTTTGGAACCACTACTGTTTACTGATATAATGGTCATCAACTAACTGTTCGGTCTGTTAAAACCTACTGTATTGTATGCTATTGGATGTACTACTTATGACTGCTATGATCGAATAACTGATATACTGTTCAAATGACTGTTTTAAATACTGAAAAGACATTCATTCCTAACCTCTTTACGCATATGTTATTCACTGGGCTTTAACTTACTGTTTATATATATATATATATATATATGTAGGTGTCCAGGCACCGGATCGGAGCTAGGAGCGTTGGGTTAAACTCCTTTTTTGCCAAGCCAACCAACGTGCCTCACTGCGAGGTTTCAAGTCCTTCAAGCTAGGGCTTTTTGGGGTGTTTTAGATTCATCCTTTCTATCCCTGTTTTTGTATAGACTAACTGTACCTGTACTATACTATTCTAATAGGGATTAGGTCCCTGTCTTGAATGATTGTACATGTATGTATATACTGTTTTTGTTCTGAATATGGATATGTATGAAAATTCTTTTTGCATACAGACTGTCACAGCTCATTGGACATCTTTTATTACTGTTTTGGCTTCCGCCTGCCCCTGTACTCTGTATTACTGTTATTACTGTTAAGCAGGCCTTTGGTAATCACGGATTACTGGCCGGTTATGGTGCTAAACCCATAGGGGCGGGTTTGGGTCGTGACAGGCAGTTCCTTCAAATCTACTGAGTCCCCACTAATTTAGCAAGCTCCACTTCCAGACATTCAAGTGGTTAAAGAGAGTGCAAGTGTAGCGGTCACTGCTACTATCCCTGCTGTGACCCCTTTGAACTTGGACAAACTTGCAGAGGTAGCTGTCACTTTAGCCACCCACACTATTACTGCTGTTGCTGGGGCCTCTGATCCAGTTGCTTCGACGACGTCTGAACAGCTAGCAAACTTGTATCCTACTCATTTTCCAGAGGTGCCAGTTGACCTTGGGATGTCCCATGATTTTTATACTGGGATTGATACTACTGTGGTTCTGGATCTGAATATTGGAGATTTCCAGATGGACGACCTCTTTTTGGAGCGACGCGATGGTGCAGACAGTTTTGGCCTTTCTCGTGAGGCCAGTTCGCCAGGTCACCAGCCAGCGTCTAGCCATTCCGTTGCCGCAGGGCAGTCATCTTCTGGGGAAATACGCCGCCCTCAGACTTTTGGTCGCTCCACCAGTCTCCCTCTAGTGATTGAAGCTGGTGGTGGTATGAGAGAGTCCCCCTGGCCCTTAGAGAAAGTATCCTTCCTAAGTTACTAGGTTTCCTCCGAAGCTGCTCCAACCCTTGCTCGTATCTAAACACTGCATCCGGATACCTTTACCGCCTTTAATGTCCCTGGGTCAATAGTTCAGACGGCACTGTTGGAGTCACTTGCTGGCTTTATTCGTGATCTTGCTACCAAGCAGTTCCTGACCACTCCCAGCAAGTTTGTGGAGAGTACTGATGCCAATCTGAGCAGCTTTGAGAGGAATGGTTTTAACCTATCATGGATGAGGGCCAGGCTTCAGACGGTTGACAGCTTCCTCGAGCACGCTGACAATGTGGCGATCATCGCGTCCCTGGAGGAGACTATTAAGGAGTGTGAGGGTGCCCTAGAGCAGCACCGGCAGAACCTGGCTCGGCTCAAAGAGAAGGGCTTTGCATTGGTTGCACAGTTGCCTCAAGATGTGACTCCGATGGACTCCCTCTTGAAGGGTTTGATTTGATATAACTTTGTGACTTTGTTATGATTTCTTCCGTTTTCTTTATTTTGTTGTTGCATCGCACTTGATGTGCCTTTCTTTTTCTTTTTCTCTGTCATAACTTTTTTTTCAAACACTGTAATCATGTTCTGGAAGCTTGACTTTGATGAAAAGTATGGATGCTTGGTAGTACTTTTGAGTTTCATTTTGTCGCCCTCCTTACATTGTTTTTATACAGCTTCTAAAGATAAGCAAAACTCTTGTAGTGAACAAAACTTCATTATGATTAAGCTTTTACAAAGATAAAATTTCACTAAGTATGGAAAACTTTCCTCAAACTAAGTGTATATGAGAGAAAAAGGTTTACTAAGTGTACGACACTTTCTTTACAATTTGCTTTGGAAGTATTCATCAAAGAAAACTTTACAACTCTTTTCCTGAACAAAAGAAACTAAGGAAAATATTCTTTGACATACTTGGCATTGACAAGGCCAGTCTTGAATCCGTTATCTACTCTTGTCAACTTGTAGTACCCGCTGCTGCTTGCCTCAGCAACTTTGTAGGGGCCTTCCTATCTGGGTGAGAACTTGGGAATTGGCTGCCCCCACATGATTGCGTCCACTATTTTCCATACTACGTCCCCCTCCTTGAACTTTCTGTGTTGAACAGATTGATTGTAGGCACAGGCTATGGATTGATGATACTTTTCCATTGCCCGCGAAGCTCGATCTCTTCTTTCTTCAGCTGCTTTTATGTCATTCTTCCTACTGTCTGGAACTAAATGCGCTAACGTAGCCATTCTTGCTAAGGGTACTGCCAACTTAACTGGTAACACAGCTTCGGACCCATATACTTGGGAAAATGGGGTTGCTTGAGTTAGCTTTCTCTTTGACGTTCTATATGCCTAGAGTGCTACGAGAAGTTACTCAGACCATGTGCCCCTTGCTTCATCCATCATTTTACTCAGTATTCGAATGAGGGTTTTGTTGGTCGCCTCAGCTTGCTCGTTTCCTTAGGGATAGTATGGACTAGACTTGTGATGCTTGATCCGGTAGGCATCCAGCAGCCTTCCAATGTGGCGGTTTACAAAAGGAGTTTCATTGTCAAACAACATCACTTTAGGTATTCCAAACCTGCAGATTATGTTCTCTCTAATGAAGTTGGCCACTCCTGCCCCATCTGCCTTCCTCATTGGTATAGCCTCTACCCACTTGGTGCTAACTTCGGTTATTACAAGTATCCATCTGTAGCTTTTTAATTGCTACGCTATAGCACCTACCAAGTCGAATGCCCAAGTATGGAACGGATAAGGAGTCTTGATGTTGTGCAGTTCAACTGCCGGTGCATGTATCAAATTTTCAAACTTCTGGCAAGATTAGCATCTCCTCACAAAGTTTTTAGCATCTTCTTGCATTGTTGGCCAGCAGTAACTGAGGTGAATGAGATGTTCGTATAATCGCTGCCCTCGTTGATGCTTTGTCTTGTGGGCTTCCCTCAGCACCTCATTTGCCTCATCTTTTGATAAGCACGCTAAAGGTTTCCCCTCGAAGCTTCTTCGGTACAGTTTGCCTTAGTCAATGAAGAAGCGCAGGGCTCGTCTCTTAACTCTGATTACATCAACTTTGTTCTCGGGCAGTATGCCATTTCTAAGATAGTCGATATATGGCTGCCTCCATTCTTCATTGCTTAAAAAATGGGCTTCCTCTTCCTTAGGATGGGATTGGCACTTTGCACATTGCCTTTGCAACTCAGTACTTTTATTCTCCATCTCTGGCCAGTAATACCCTTGCCTCTGTATTCGTCGGTATAGACTGATATCTCCATCTCCACAGGACTTAGCATGGATCTGCTTAAGTCTATAAGTTGCTTCTTATCTACTAACGCATCTTGCTAGTAAGTTGTTGGGACCGCGAAAATACAACTCTCCTCTGAGGAGGAGAAATGATGCAAGTTCTGCTGGTCTAATTATTCCCTGGCCTGTTTTCAGCTGCTGGATTATATCTGCTTTCCACCCCTCAGCATCTTGCTCTTCATGTTCTTCAGTTAGCACTGCGGGTGTTGTTCTTTTCTCGATGACGATGGCTATATTATCATCTGGTATCTTCACCTTTGCCCTCAGTGTAGCCAAGGCATCGGGGAAACGATTATGTGCTCGAGGGGTATGCTGAATTTGGACATCATCAAACTGAGCAAGCAACCTTTGGACTACAGTGCGATATGGGGTTAACAGAGGCTCCTTCAAGGCGAAATCACCCATTGTTTGCTTGACAACTAACTTGGAGTCGCCCCAGATTCTCAACTTGCAAAGGCCCTTTTTTTGGGCAGCTATCAGGCCTAATATCAACGTTTCATATTCAGCCTCGTTGTTTAAACACTCAAAGTCAAGCTTATATGATAGATGGAACTTCTCTCCTTCTTGACTGGTTAGTGTGACACCAGTTCCACCTTTCCTAGCTCCGGAAGCTCCATCAAATTTTAAGTCCCAATAAGTCTCAATTGCAGCTGTTGACACATGGAACTCACCCGGTAGAGGTACCTTTGCAGGTTCATGTTCACCAGATGGGAACTGGGCTAGTAGGTCTGCAAGTGCTTTGCTCTTAATAACCTTAGAAGTGACACAAGCGATATCATATTCCGCTAGAGCTAAGAGCCATCTTGTCATTCTCCCAGTCAGAGCGAGCTTGCTTAGCAAGTAGCGGACTGGATCACTCCGGGTCACAACCTGGATTGGGTGTGCCAAAAAGTAGTAGGGCAACTTCTGCGCTGTGAAGATTAAGGCTAAACAATGCCTCTCAATTGGAGTATATCGCGACTCGGCACCATTGACTTTGCGACTGATGTAATAGATTTGGCTTCTTAATTTCATCTATGTCTTAGACAAGTAGGGCTCCAATAGACGGAGGAGTAGAGGTCAGGTACAGTAGCAAAGGTTTTTTAGGCTGTGAGGCAATCATTGTAAGTAGGGAGGTAAATGCTTTCTTCACTGTATCAAATGCCCATTAGTGTTCTTGCAACCATTCAAACTTGTGATTCCCTTTCAGCAGTGTCCCAAAGGAAAAGGTTATCTCAGCAAGGGCTAGAATAAACCTCCTGAGGTATGACACTTTGCTTAGAAATTTCTTCACAGCCTTTTGAGAGTGTGGCGGCGGCATCTCTATGATTGACTTGACCTTATCCCCATCTACTTCGATTCCCCACTGGTGTACAAGGAAGCCAAGGAACTTGCCAGCAGTAACTCCAAAGGCACACTTGAGAGGGTTCATCTTGAAACAAAATTTACGGCAACGCTGAAAAACTTTTTCCAAGTCGCAGAGGTGGCAGTTTGCCTTAGTAGACTTGACCACCAGATCATCCACATATACTTCCACTTCGTGGTGCAACATGTCATGGAACACCGCAGTCATAGCCCGTTGATAGGTTGGCCCCGCATTTTTCAAACCGAAGGGCATCACCGTATAGAAAAAATTTCCCAAGGGCATTCTGAAAGCTGTCTTTTCTGCATTTTCTGGCGCCATTTTGAAGTGGTTATAACCACTAAACCCATCCATGAAAGAGAACATCTGATGGCCCGCAATTGAATCAACAAGTGTATCGACATAGGGTAATGGAAACTCAACTTTCAGGTAAGCCTTATTCAGGTCACGAAAGTCTACACAGACCCTGATCTGACCATTCTTCTTTTGCACAGGAACAATATTTGCTAGCCAAGTCGGATATTGTATAGGCTCAATGAACTTGGCCTTCTGCAACTTTTCTATCTTTGCTTTAATCTTTTCTTCAAGATCAGGGTGATACTTTCGAGCGTGCTGCTTGATCGGTTTAGAGTTGGGAAAAGTGTCCAGATGATGAGTGACGAAAGATGGGTCAAGACCAGGCATCTCATCATATGTCCAAGCAAAGACACCACTGTATTGCTTTAGTAGTGTTATCAATTCTGCCTTAGCTGCTGGAGCCATTGTATCACTGACAAACACTGGCTTGCTCTTCCTAGGTAAGTCACCGAGGTTGACCTCAGCGAGTACCTCCTACTGAGGTTTGGGCCTATCTTGCATGCATTCAGAGACGGGTTCAGGCATCTCCACCAATCCTTCTTGGGACTCACTTCTTTTGGTATGGGTTGTTGGCTTTTTGGCTAATTTAGTAACTTTTAGGCTAATTGGCTAAAATAGCCTCTTGCCAAACGAGGCCTTAGTAGTGTTATCAATTCTGCCTTAGCTGCTGGAGTCATTGTATCACTGATAAACACTGGCTTGCTCTTCCTAGGTAAGTCACCGAGGTTGACCTCAGCGAGTACCTCCTACTGAGGTTTGGGCCTATCTTGCATGCATTCAGAGACGGGTTCAGGCATCTCTACCAATCCTTCTTGGGACTCACTTCCGTCACATTTATTTGTCTCGGGGCCATCCTCCTAGGGTATGAAGTTTAGCCCCCAAGACCGTCATAGGTAGTAAACTGTCTTGCCGCCCTCGCACACCTTGACAATCTTGGGCAGAGGACTTGTGGATTTGCTGATCATGTTCTGTCCACTGATTTCTAGAGCAGCCTCTCCATCTCGAATGTCTTCCCACTTCGGCAATTTTACCCCTGCAATTTCACTAGCCCTTGGAGCTTCATCCGTTGACAACTCGGTAAAGAAAACTGCAACCGAATAGTGTGCCTCTTCCACTCCGAATGGCTTTTAGACGCGTTTATGATAACTGTGCGCTTTCCCAACTTTGCCTTCACATATTGGTGATAACTAGACGGGATAGCCCTATATCGGTGCATTTAGGCTCTGCAAAGTATCATGTGGTAATTTGTATCTATTTCAATCACATGGAACTTATTGAGGAATGAATTTCACCAACTGTTAAGTCCACTACAATATGGCCCTTAGTAACCTTCTTCTCACCACCAAACCCCATTATAGTGATGGGTTGGCAAACTATCCTAGACTCTGGGATACCAGCCTTTGCGAATGTGTCAGTAGTAATGATGTTTATGGACGCCCCACCATCGAGGAAAGCACGCTTAAACTCCACATCATTGATATAAGATGTGACAAAAAGAGGACAGTTATAGAGAAATAGGTATGCTCTGTCTGCCTCTAAAAAGGTAATGGCCCCATAATCTTCCTGGCGGCGCGCGAGGCACATATTCCTTGGCCTCAATAACTTCAGCATGGTGCACTTCAGACATGCTGATGAGAGCCTTTGTTGCTTCCATCCTGGCGACTTGGCTCAGCCTCAATTGGTCAAAGAATGTGTGAAACTTAACAGAATTTTGCAAGGCTTGAGTATGAGTATCCTCTGCGAATTTCGCCTCTGCAGGTGCTGTTTCAGGGAGTTGGCCAGTTGCAATTTCTTTTAGCTCATCATAGTAGGACACCATGTGCATTTGACCACGTACAGGCCCAAGGTAGCTGATCATGTATACATTTTTCCCCTTCTCCTTGTGGTTAGGATAAAGGTCCTTTCGTATGTCACGATTACCGGTATCTTTGAACTTCAGCTCATTCGTATCAACTTTCTTTTTGAAGATATTTTTTAACGTCCAACAATCCCTGGTAGGGTGTCTGGTGGTTCTGTGATAGACACAGTAATCTGGGCTTTCTTTGTCCTTCTTGGTTGGAGTAACATCAACCGGAGGCAAAGTAAGTTCACCATCAGCGACCCATTCTTTAACCAAGGCCTTAACATTCTCAAGGCTGCAAAGATATGGATTCCTGTCTTCATAACTCTTCCTCTTTCGAGAGGACAAAGCCTCTGCTTGTGAGCGGCTCCCTCCTATGGAGGTTACCGCAGAAACTCTACTACTGTGGGAGTAGCGGTGGCTGTCACAAGATCTGTGTAAAGGACCAGTGGTACTGAGATTTCTAGCTGCCTCAATCAAGGCTGAAAAGATAGGCAGATTATGGTTCACCAAAAAAATCTTGTAGTCGCGCATGGTATCCTCCACACATATGCTGACTAAGTGAGCTTCATCCACTGGTTCATGACAGTCAATCGCCTTGTCTTGGAACCTCTTAACATAGTCCAGTATATCTTCGTCTTCTTTTTGGACGTCTCGACCAAGTGTAAGGGTTATAACTTTCTCCTAGACTTGGAAGAACTTCGTGTGGAACTTGTTCACCATCTCCTCCCAACTCTTGATCGAGTTAGGAGCCAAGTTCACATACCAACTATAAGCTCTTTCAGTAAGTGATTTGGAGAACTCCCGAAGGCGCAGAGAGTGGTCACTACCATGGACACCAAGAGTTTCAATGAACCTGACCACGTGTTCTCTAGCATTGCCTTGTTTTCCATCAAACTTAATAAACTTTGGCATTGTATACCTAGTTAGGTAGAGCATGGTAAATATCTCTTGAGAGTATGGGGGCTTCACATCTGGGTCTGGGAGAGATGGCAGTTGCTTCTTGCTGTGCTCTTGCTCGAGCATGGCTTGTACATTGGCTAGAGTAACAAAGTGAGTGGGCTGGAAAGATCTAGTCTGCTCATGGGTAGCTGAACCAGCGGCCGTACCATTCGCTTGAGGTACCACCAGAGACACCTGGATCAGAGCCCCAACCTCAGGGAACAAGTTAGGCACTGGGTTTGGGACTACTACAAGCGGAGGTGCTTGCACTGGAGCTGGTCGAGAAGCCATGGCCATAATAGCCTCAGTGAGAGTTTGCAAAGCTGTCAGGATCTCCCTCTGCATATCCTGGAGTGACTAAACTGCCTTAATCACAACATTGTGGTCATGGTCTTCCGCATGTGTTACTCCGCCATTGGAAGAGCCTTGCTGCCGTGGGAGTTACTAAACTTCATCTTCTGCCATTTTTTCCAGCGAAGTGTGTAAGCTACTGCGGGTGTGAACCATCAACAAAGCAGCCTCCCCAGTGGAGTCGCTAGAAAATGTAGGGGGGTTCTAGGTTAGAGAGATGATCAGAGAGGCAAAACTACGCTAATGGTCCAATAATGGCGAAAGTGGCTGGAGAATGAGTAGCAGCAACTATCTAGGAGTTGGAGAGTGTATAGCTGGGTGAGGGTGAAGCAAGTGGCTAAAGAAGAAGTGTATGGCAGTACCAAATTGGGCAGCATCTCTCCCAAATCTCCAAAATTCTTCCTTCTGAACCTTGGGAAATGGGTCATATTTATAGGCTTTTCCTTGGTGCCAAGTGAACACCAAGTGGCCAAATGAAGAGAAGACATGTGTCCCATGGGATCACATAGAATATTCTGTCTTGAGCCACTAGGCTAGAGGTGTCATGTGTCCCTCTGTATGTACTGTGTACTATCTGTTTGCCTCCGCAACTACCCTTTTGAGCCTCAGCAAGTGTAGTTGCGACGGGAGTATTTAGCGCTACAACTTCCTTTCGAGCCTCAGCAAGTGCAGTTGCAACGAGAGTGTTTGCCTCTGCACTTGCCTTCTCAGCCTGAACCTCGGCAAGTGCACTTGCAGCGGTAAACCTTGCCACTGCACTTACCTTCTCAGTTTTATTTGACCAGCACATGCATTCTCAGGACTCCATTAGTCTGCTATCGACTATGTTCATGCCCACCTCAGCGAAGCCTCCACCCTTAGCCACCTAACCACAAACTCCCCAGCTTCCCAAGGTGAAGGTCACAGCCAAGCCTGCTATCAGCTATGTTGTACCTTAGTACTAAGCCCAAGGGGGCTTCCTTAGTCCTGCCTGTGCGACTAAGGCAGGTTCATGACCTAGGTAATGGGAAGGAAGTCCCTCATGTTTGGGCTACCCTACTCCCATCTTCACAGGGTTGTCGCGGTAAACTAGTATTTCTGAGCCTGCTATCAGCTCTAACCAATAAGTCTTGGGGCCTGCTATTAGCGTCAAGTTAATAAATCGTGGTGCCTGCTATCAACCCTAGGCTAGTAATGTCTTGA